ATTTTCGCGCTTACCAATCCCGAGGATTCTCTTGCTTTGGGTCAACTTCGGCGGCCTAGTCGGATTAAGGTCCTCTCACCAGGGAATTACCGAATACTGGCAATTGGGCGCCCCTTTGGGAGTATCAACGAGATAACCGCACCGATGCACGGTAGTTGTGACCAATTCTATTCCCTGGAGGTGTGGAACCCCCATCCCTCTCGTCAACTTGAAGGCGCAAGTTGCAACCCAAGTGCCTATTCCTCTGCGCGCGGTTGCTTCAAAAGCCCGCTCATCTGAAATCTGCAGATCTTTCAGTGAAAAGCAATGTCGAAGGTTTTGTGAGGACAGGGGCATGCGTGCGAGCGTTCGTCACCGGCTGCACTAATCGGTAGGCAGATTACGCAGGCAGTTTTGTTTTGTCTACTTCTCTTCCTGATTGATATCTTCTTGATGATTCACTGATGTATTATCTTCGCTACCTCTTCTCCTCAGAATTCGGCATATATGAGTATGTAAGCATCCACCGGGTGAATTCCACAATGCGAATGGTATTCGTTCCGATGAATCTTTCCTTAGATGTTGATGTTTGAGGAGTTTCTCTTGTCTGCTGGCAATAATTTTATTGTAGGTTCGGAGACGCGCAGTTTTCAAACTAACGTGCCGTCAAAGGTACGCGAGTTCGTCGCTTAATCGTGTATTAGATGCTGAGGGTGGAGTTTTTGGTTTTCCAATTGCCGAAGTGGTGAGCGGTGTTGCTCATTTTGTGGGCTGAAGAGATCTACTTCAGCAAACAGAAAAGTGTGAGTACCATCATCTGACAAATCTCGATCATAGGGTTGCCCTTCGGTCGTTCAAAACCTTCGCCGTTGAAGTGCAATGCCAGAAACCTTGTGATGTTTATTCCGCGCTTCCTGCTACCACTTATGTTATCGATGGTCTCGCTCTTTGGTCAAATGCGGAGTCTGAAATTTCCAAGGTATAAATGCTACCCTGGAAATTCCAGACCTAGAATTACTTGAAAGGTTGAGTCTCTGTTAGGTTTGTGGTGGTGATTTTCTCGAAGGGTAGTGAGTCCTAATGGGACTCTCGATTCCATTCCTTCATTCAATATATTTGTTCTGATTCTTACTTGGATTTCAGGAAGGTGTTGCTGTTACCTATCGCTCTCGCCGTGAAACCATGGCCGAGAATGGTCGAAAGAAATCGTCGGAGGTCCAAAAGCTAAGTGATCCTAATTTCTTGGTGGAAGTTGGAGTGGGTCCTCCGACGCCAACATTAGTTCCGCAAAGGCCAGGGACAGGAGTAGTTGTGGGAGGCCAGTATGCCGATGAGGTGAAAAGGTTCATCTGGAAGAAAGCACATTTTAGTCTAGATGACAACCGGATATTCGATAAGAATGGACGCTTGGTGGCCGTCTCTTACCACTGGGGAAAGAACCCGTACGAGAGCTTAGACCCTTTGAATGTTATTCCAGATAATCCAGTGGGAGAGTGGGAATCCGTTTGCTACATCTCAGGATACGACGGAATGCCTCAATTAAAAGTAAGGCCCGCGGCCTGGTCCTTGCACGGCAGACAGTACATTTACGACTGCAATGGCGAGAGAAGTTACTGTAACATAGCCAGCGTCTCGAGGCTGAAAACTATGTCCGTCCGACGCAACTTTGCGGTCTTCGCCGGAGACGAAGACTCAGAGCCCACGTACACCGTCCTGGTTGACCTAGCGGGGCGAACGATGCAGCTGGTGAATGCAAATGAGGAGCGCGTGGCGGTGTTCACGAAATCGGTGGAGACGCTGATTCTGAACGCTACTTTGGGGGTGGGATCGGAGTTCACCATCGATGTAGCACCGGGGGTGGACTGGACGGCCATGCTGGCCATCTGCATCGGGTTGAACCAAGTGGGAAAAAGCTATCAGAAGGACGCGATGAACAACTTCCTGGTAGACCCAGCGAAGGATGCGGCCATGGGCTACGCTTTGAACGAGGCCCTCTTGGTCGCAGACGGAATTCAATCGGGTGAAATCGAGGTGCCCGAACTCGGTGAAATCGAGGTGCCTGAAATCGAGGTACCCGAAGTCGAAGTACCGGAGGAAGTATCTAGTTTCTTTGGAACTGTTATGGAATCCTTACTTAGTGCGTTAGCAGAAGAATAGAACCTGCCACTGTTGCTCCAGCCATGTTGTGTGGCAATTGCCTACAATTGCTATAGAATGTACATTCCCTTCCAACAAGATAGAAAATTTCGAGTAAACAAATGCAAAGCATGAATTTCGAGCAGCGTATGATACGACGGTTGTTGCTAGTTGTACAAAGAAAGGCTGCAACATAAATTCCACGTGTACGGTATCATACATTTAATATTGGGTTTCCATTATCTTTTGAAAGTATCTCAGAATTCTTTCGAGTATATTGTTTGAAAAAATGTCTAAAATAAGCGCATCCTGAAGCCTTGCAATTGCAAACCAAGATAATAAGTAACAAATTGTAAAAATCCCCAACCTATTTACTAAATAAACCCATCCATCATTATTTTACCCCAGCCCTCGGTATACAAATTCATGAACTCGATCAATCTTGCAACATCCATCATCAATACCCGCACAACCAAAATAAATCAGTGCAAGATCTGCAACAAATAAAACTATTGCGCTTCAGGATCCTGTATGTCAAACATCCCATATTTCACAAAGTCATTTCGAAAACTCCAAACCTCAACTGAACAACTCCCGATAAAAACATTCATGTTACCACAGCACCACCCCAACAGCTCTAGAACAACATTACTTTGATTCGATTCTTCAAAATCATATGTTACATATTTACCAAGTTTGTATGCACCACTCAGAAAACATGGGTGGATTCACGCGCACCACCAGGCTAGGCCACAAAAATATGTATTTTCAAATCCTCACGCATGACACATAATTGAACAGTTCGTCAACAAGAAATTACTTCAAAACATACATGTCAGGTCCACGCTGGAGCAATCCATTCTCAGCACGCAAGGCCGGCTGTTTCCTACTTCCATATGAACAGACGCCGGGGCAAGCATCCAATCTCCTTCACCTGACTATCGACTCAACGAACTACCAAAACTCTACAATCGGCACTGTACAATCTTGCAGCAGTCCAGGAATTGATCCCTCCGCGCCTGCCTGCCTGCCTACCTACATACATTTAGTGGAACACGGGAGCTCCGCGGATCAGCTCCGTGACAACCAGCGACAAGAATCCCAGCATCGCCAGCCGCCCGTTCCATCGCTCAGCCCGCGCCGTGAACGGCCCGAAGCTGCGAGCATCCGTCGACTCGCCGTTCATGATCGGCACCAGCGACGCGTACGTGAACAGCTGCACCGCGCCCACGAAGTACACCAGCCCGCTCGTGGTGGGGTTGAACAGCTGCTCCGCCACCGTCAATCCCGTCGCCTTCTCCGCGAAGAACGCCCACACGATGCCCAACATCGCCAGCCGGCAGTTGATGGTCTCGGGGGCAGCCCCGTCGAACGCGAACACGCTGAAGAAGGACTTGTCGCCGGTCTCGGGCCGCCTCTCGATCTCGGGGCGGGGGGTGAACCCCACAGCCTGGTCGAACCCCGGGGTGGGCTTGGCGCCGAAATACGAGCGCTGCTCCGACTCGTTGGTCTCCATGTTCTTCAGGATCTCGCCCTCCGTGATGTCCTTCTTCGTGCTCTCATTGATGGTTTCCCGCAGGCCCTTGCCCGCCTCGCATCGAACTCGTCCGGCCAGCGACGCGCCCAGTCTGGGTCGGTCCACCACGCGGGAAGCAGCGCTGGACAGCCTCGTGGAGGAGGGGGCCAGGGCCATGAGGCCGCCGGCCATGGTTGCAGCGGCAGACATCTGAGACATCGCGGCGGCCATCGTCCTGTTCTACTCACGAATATGAGAGGCAATCAATCGGCCTCCTAAATCTCTTCTGGATTGATGATAATGCGAGATATCCGATTGAAGGCTCAATTTCTTAGTTGGTCGTTTGCAAAACTATGAGAACTGCTGCAAAACGATTTAGGATCTGTTGAAGTAACATGAAACCGCGTCATTTATACACGAGGTTCATTTGCCTGAGCCCGTTTGTTCCAGAATGCGAGCGCCGTAGATGGGCATGCAGAGGAAGCAGCCAGATGCAAGCTGCAGGGCTCGACAGAGCATGGTTGTGGTCAGGAGGGGAATGCGAGAGGTAAATCGTGTGGCATGTGGCAGTGAACGGCTCTGTGTAGTGTAAAGCGACGGTTTGGCTCAACAGAGTTCACCACGTTTCCAGATTTCGCGTGAGCAGGCGATGGGGTGGGATGTGCAGCGCTACGATGGGGCGCGACGGTGTCCGTGGATTGAACCTTCGGCTGTAGCTCTTCCACCGCGTCGTCCGTCACGTACCCTCCTGGCCATCGACGACGGCTGCGCTGCAGCCACAGAATTGCCCCCTCTCTTTGTGGTTTCCATCTTTAACACTGCTCGCAGGATTCTGTCACAATATTGGCTCTGTTGTATGGGTTTCACTTTTCTTTATTGAGTTAGTATCTTGTCCAGTTTGAAAATTTGAATCTATGTCAAAATATCACAATCTGAAGTGAGTGGATGGGTTCAGAGTGCGATTGATTCTTTGGGTTTGAGACCAAGGTTATTTTATTTGCTGTGCTTACTCTTTTGTCAGGTCTGAGACACACTTATTTGTAGATGTTGTGTTTAACATCAAGTTTCCTCACGAATTCCATGTGTTTTAAGAATAGTATTGAAGATATTTCAAAAACTGGAAGATACATAGTGTAATGACTTTAACACACACAAGAAGATGGTCAATGTGGCACCTTAGTGGATTACAACTTTTAATATCTATTTGAAAGCGTTTTTCTAAATGATAGAAAATGAGTTCAAGAATAGTTATATATATACCAGACAAGACATTAGAGATTTAAACAACCTTATTTGTTAATAAAAGAAGGGAAAGAAGAGAATTTGTGTTGAAAGAAAGGTTTGAATTTAAAAGTTCATAGAAATATAAATGAAAATAAATGTCTTTTATAGAAGATAACACTACAATATAAATTTGTTACTTCACCCATATAACTTATATTAGAAATTATAAACTCTAAATGTGAATCAAGTATAAAATAATTAAAGATATGAATCAAAGTGTATTAATATTTAGATTTTCAAAGTTGTGCAATGCAACCAATGATGTCTAAAATAAATTTTTAAATGTTTTCATGATTTAAAAAGACTTCAAATTTCATTAAAGTTTTCTTTTTGGATACAACCTTATTATCAAAGTATTCTAACATTTCAAAGTAAGAAACAAAGTTTTGCAAATGAGTAACAAATGTTGAATATGTACATTGTGTTACAAAAGAGGTTTTATAAGTTGAGATGATGGATGCTCCTTCATACTTTAGATCAATTAAAGTAATATTTTTGTTTTTATTTTTATTTTTAAAAACAAAGAGCTTGCTTTTATCTCGTCAAATTGATACAAAAAACAAAATTACACAACATTGAGTTATAAGTTTAATAACTTTCATAAGAAGTTATTATAATAATTATTATATTATGTGTTGTCTTGTTTCAAAATACATTGGGCATTTGATTATGGAAGGTAGAGTTAAATTTTGCAACTACCTAAGAAACTCTTATAGGTTTGGACTAATTAAGAGCAATGTTATGTATTTCTAGTTCAAGATATTTTAATAAAAATATAATGTGTTCAAATACACTCTTCTTTTTTATCATAACCATGTAGAAACTCTTATTACTTTGTTATGTTTATTTGTTTGCAATATCAAATTTTCCTTTAAAATTAGAACTCTAGTCACTAAACTTTATATAGCTATAGCTTTGAAATACACTATC